AAACTATTCAGTAATAAGATGCATTTGCTTTATCAATTAACTCAGGTTTTATATGAAACTTTTATGTGTCGAATCGGCAGGATCATCAGATCAGGACGCATTTCAATAAGTTGTGTTCTTTTTAATAAGGTAAGAACGCGTGATTATGATTTAACAAATTTGGTATTATCGAACTGGAGACGGATAATCCGAAACAGCAGTTTATTATTTTTGACTATGAAAGGATTTTTATTTTTATGTATACTTGTCGGAACTTTTAATTGATTTCCTATTCTTGATCCTTCACATTACTTTCCATCCTTGTCATAACTTTAAAACCGCATAAATCACTATGTAAAATTATCATAAATCTTATTACTATCAGTATATTATTTGTATTCTATATAAAAAAAGTTCTTTAAATAATTGGATAATTTATCATTTTACATCCAAATCCATTTTGTAATTGACTACATCCTTATTATTTACTGATTTAATGTACATTTAATCAAGATTAAAGTTTCGTTGTGTAAAATGAAGGTTATCTTACTTAAGTGCGTAAATATAGAGTTTATCTTTTCAATCGTATGATAAATGATTTTGTAAAGCTGTATGAAATATTCTTATTAAATACTAGCTTTCGTCCGCGACTCCATCTGCGTGGTATTAAAAAACAAAACTGAGAGCCTATATGTTCTTCCAGACTATCCTCTATCATCCATGCCAAATTTCATTGAGATTCGTTAAGTAGTTTAGGCTTCAAACTCTAACAAACATCCATCCATCAATCTAAACTTTCACATTTATAATATTAACTAGTATGATTGTATGTTAGAGATGTGCATGTATCGCAATGTGTCTGGTTGTGTGGCCAATAAAGCCGTCTCGACACGTGCATATCGGATTGTTTCCTTGGCAAATACAATATGTTTTCTAAAGAATACTCTCTTGAATGTGTAAAGTTTTGTGCTACATTTTCAACCAAATAGAATGAACCAAAATTGTCCTCAATACACACCAAGTCTACATATTTAGTAAAATATGGTATTTATGGTGAATGACATGGTATGAATATGGTGAATGAATGAATGACATTTAAGACAGATATGTAATTATATCAGTATATTGTTAGTTTGCTACCAAAATAAAATGTTTATGTTTATTTAGATGACTATGTTATTTTTCAAAAGGAAGAATATATTTCAATAACTGGCCAATAATTTGGCCGAAACAAACCAATGGCCAGTTTCCCAGTTTTAAACATCCGTTGCTGCTTTTGGTTTGATAAATACTTGAAATGTGTTTCCGAACTACGTAATTTGAGTTCAGCAACCCAGCATAAGTTAAATAAATCCGTTAAATATCTTTTCGCCGTTCAGACTATCTAAAACGATTGCAGACATTTTTGCACTATGATAAAAACGTAGGTTAACCTCCTTTATAAGGTGCTGTCGCTAAGTGGTATTTGGCGAAAGTTAAAGATAATTGGATACGTGCATAGAAGGAATACCCCGACAAATTATGCTACGTATGAATAGCGGTTAGCATCTAAATTTAATATTTTAGGTCAAGTCGGATTTTTTCTTAGGCCACTTTTTGTACGACTAAGTGACTCATGAAAAAGGTAGTCATGCTGGAGCTGCACAAAAAGAAAACTTTTAGTTTTTAGTCGCATTTGATAAAAAGTGACAAAAAGTTAACGAAAAGAAGTGAATCATTATAGGTAGTGAATACTTAGAGAGGTAAATGCACATGATTGGGTCAAGTCAATCAAATTTAACTGTCCTTATTGTACCCAAAAGTCTGTACAAACATTTGCTCACTTTTTTTTATAATACAATGTGGCAAAAGAGCAAGTGGCTACCTGAATCCACCGAAATGGAAAGCGACCACTGCCCATATATATCCGCAATTGCAGATGCGTTGCTTACGCTTAATTGACGGAGGAGGAGATGCACATAAACAGGACATTTTCCCTTCCTATGCGACTCCTTCACCGTCAAATCCATTCCTTCCCATCCTTTCCTCTTAAGACAAGGATGCAAAGGGAAAGGGACTAAAATTAGGCCTCCAGCACCACACTCTTCAGACGAAATACGGAATTGCTTCCACTTCACGCCTGTTATCTGTGTGGGCGTGGTATTACACCGGGAAAGCCGGCCCATTCGTGCAAAGATGTTAAAGCGGGCTTTACCAAAAAACTCAGTTCTAGCAAATACTTTATTAAGGATTGATAATAAAAACTCGATTACAATTAGCCTACGAAATAACTGGTTCTAGTTTAAGGGTTTGATATCAATTGTTTAAATTAAGAACTGGTTTAGTAGTCGAATAGCGTGCAGATAGATATAACATCCTAGGTACTAACCTACAAAATCTACAACTATGCAGATTTTGTATCAAGATTTACACAAAGAAAGTTGAGCTAATTAAGATGATGTCTATAATCGTTATCCACTTACTCTTATCCATTTACGCAGGGTCGGTACAGTATGTGCTGTTCTTCCATACATGTCAATCAGTCGTCATATCTGAATCCACTCCTTTTTTAAGCATATCCTCTTTCACACAATCCATCCATACTTTCTTTGATCTTCCTCTACCTTTGTAGCCATCCACATTCAATCTTAACACTTTCTGGTTTATATGATGTCTATAATCTTCAAATATCAAAACCTGATAAATTTAAATCGGGATATAATCATAACCGGTTCTATTTCTTTGCATAGAAGTAAAATAAAAATTAAACATTTACATGTACTTATGGATAGTTTATTAAATTAAATTAATTTAATAAGCACAGTTGTCTAGTGACATAACTCACGTACAAAGTATCATTGCTTGTGAATATTAATAATTCCTTCCAACTATAGTTTACTCTCGAATATGTCGTGTATTAAAGTTACCGTAGAAAGTGGTTCGCAACAAGTTACGATTTGAATACTGAGCAATTGCAAATATTTCATTACCTTGACTATAATTAGTATAAAAGTAAATAAATTTGTTTTGGGACGGTAATACTCGTATACACTTTAAAATAATCTCATGTGTTGTAAACCTAAGTTAAGAATTTTTCTATTGCTTCTTTTTTATCCTTTTTTACTTTGAACTAGCTGTTGCTTGCTTCATCCAAGCAATATTAAGATAAGAAGCCTTTAATATGCCCGTCTATGTTAGTCACCCTTCAATAAAAGTCTGGTCGAAATCGGTCCAGCCGTTTCGAAGAATACCCGGAACAAACGTGGCTTGCGGACAGACAGACAAAAAATTATAAATGCGATTTTCGTATCAGCAACGCAAATATCCCGAAATCTGGAGTTTTTCTCTTATTACAAGCAGACACTCCACTTTTGTAGATATGTATATATTATGACCTTAATAAAAGTCTGATCCAGCAGAATAAGTTATTGATTAAGTTAGCGTAGAAATAAAAATACGAATGCCAATAAAACGATTTTTCTATTTCCCCTTACAATTATCTTATAAATTATTGGAATCTCGTTTAATTGATCGAAGTGAACGCGGCATTTATTAGCATTCGGTTTAGGAGACATTACCATTTATAAACATATCAATGATATATTATTGTTAGATGCCGATTTATCAGTATAACCAAACACAGAATGTAAGCTGCCGCATTCGATCCAGTTATAAATACAATCCTTGGTTATTGCAAGAAATATCTCACTCCAAACATCTCTTTGGCGTCTCTTTCTTTTATTTTTATCAGCTCGAAGACTAAGCGAACGGATACCGGGATTTATTCCAATAGAATAAAATAATACAAACGCATTAATCGATTTGTTTATTGTGTGCAAAGATGCAGCTGAAGGCGCATTTGTAACATACATAAATATATTCTACAAGCTTTCGCCCACGACTCTGTCCGCCTGGAATTAAATAAAAACAAAATTGACAAGCATATGTACTCTTTGAGGCTTCCTTCTGCATCTATTCCTAATTTCATCAAAATCCGTTTAGTCGTTTAGGTTACAAACTCTAACAAACATCCATCCAAACATTCTCATTTGTATTATTAGTATGATTGTATATGTCCATAAGCTGGCAAATACAAGATAGCAGTTTATTCCTGGTTTTATCAATTGGTGATTTTCATAATTTCTCATTTCATGTCTGTTGATGTTTTAATTACAATTCAAAGTTAATACAAGTGTATAGTATAGTATAGTATTAAGCGCAAAATGTTGCAAATAATGTAAAATTCATACAAGTACGTGACTTTAAGATGTAATTGACACGCATGATGATTATTATACCTGATTATGTATTTACTTGTCACGACCTTGGTACGTTAATACGATGGTCAGAGTTGAGCAATTAAAAAAAAACATTTCTACTTTTACTTAACATCTAAATGCATAAGATATCAAATTTTTAAATCATTAAAGAAAAAATGTAGTATAAGCATATGTTATCTAGGGCCATTTTCCTTTAAATAAATAATCCCTTGCCTGAAGCACTTGCTAACTCCCAACTAAATTACGAAAATACGCCGAGTTAAACCTAAAACTCAATTCGATACTGGAAGTCTAGACGGTGCACCAGGGAATTCTTGATCGACTATTATACATATTCGTTTTGTACAAACGAACTAGTCTCTACCCCGACTTTGTTTACATACACTTCCCTTCTATAATAAAAATCAGTGTAATGCGTTCAGCAGAAAGGATGCTCTTCATTCCAATGTAATGTGTAGAGCCCATTTACTACGGACCCTTTGTTTACATCAGATTTCAATAGCCGTTAATTGTATTTCCGAACATATTACCGACTAATAAGTTCCCCTCCAACAAAGACTGCACAGAAGCCTCTATGCACTAAACAAAGACTACGAGTAAACCAAAAGAAATTTTAATCAAACGAAATTGTACGCACTTCATTGTGTCGACAATAACCCACAAAGCGCACGCACATATTTAGAAGCTGGTACAGTAGACGCACGCACGCACACACGCAGCGTATGCACTAAAGTTCACTCCTGTAGTCGGTTCCGTTCACCCGAAGTTTAGTGTTGAGTCGCGCGGGGTCGCGGTCGACGCGTGTTCGTCCCGCTCACGGACGTTATCGTCTTACGAAACGTTTATAATAAATATAAATAACATCAATAAATACTATAAAAATTATTAAATAATATTCATCGATTTAATAAATTTAATTCACGTTTAAAATATTAAACTATATTTTATATCGAATTTACGTGCTACAGTGTCTGAAAAGTTGATTAGAGCAGTGCTTTCAGTGTCTGTACTACTCTGTTGTGTTGGATGAAAGGGAAAGTAAGCTTCGCCAGTGTAAAGCTTTGTTTTGTTTTCGTGGGTTTCTCTGATACAAAGTAGAGCGAATTAACTAAATGTAAGTATTTGTTTATACACTTTTTTTATAACTTTATGTGAAATTGTATTTTATTTTCGCATGCATAACTCATTAAACTGGTTTATAATGACAGAGATGTTATTTTAAATTTAAAGTTATTGTAATTTTTATTAATTTCTATGTAAAATAAATATTTTTTAAAAAATACATAGACACCTTATTCAATAATAGTGCTGAAATGTTTATGATAGTACGTGGGTATCGTTTGAGTTTGAAAAAGGAATAAAAATAACACTTCTGTGTAAGCACACGGTGAAGTTTTAGAATTTATGTGTTGATTTATTTGTAGATCTCTGTTGGTCATGTGGCGGGTGTGATTATATTGGTGCTCGTTTATAAATAGTCACACTTAGTCCACACTTGCTCTTAACTTGCGCCACGCATTATCCTACTCGCACTATCGACTACCAGTCCTTTAATATTAGTATTAGAGCTACAAATTATTATTACATTAGCAGTATAACTTATTATAACTTTAAAGATATAAATTGTAAAGTTCTTAGATGAAATAAACACGTATCTCAAGTATTTAAACAAAAAATAGGGTTAACTAAGAATGCATTATCGCCCTTCATGGATTCCGCTTAGATCGGCTTCCTACAAGAATTCAACCTTCATAAAAGATAATCGTATCTTCAATGGAGGTCAGGGATTCGATTCTTAGCCATCTCTGTAGTTGGAATTTGAAAATGTACTTAATTGCAAACAGTTAGAAAGCTCGGATGGAAGTAGTCTTGTGTGTTATCTGCAAATTTAAAGGGCGTAAGGATATTAATCTATTTTACACAAACGAAAACATAAATTAGTGTAACACAGCGTAACTTATTAAGTTGTTTATTTGTGTTATTAAATAAAAGCGATTACGTGAACTGATAAGTTACATATACAATTGTTGTTTATTGTGTAGATTAATTAATATAGTTATGTTTTAATTATGATTTTATCTAAGTTATAACTTTTTTAATTAATTTACTGAAAGTTATTGTTATTGAATTACTTTCCCCTTTTATAATCACCCAGTATAGAACCAATTCTAAAATTAAATATAGAAACATTTTTGTATTAGGAAAGACAATCTTGTTTACTAATTCCAGTAATCCAGATTCCATCACGACATATAGCGTGATTAAACATTCTTTTAATCGTAAAATATAGGGGATAGATAGTACCTAATTTTATCTCTTTAGTCGTTAGTGAAACTCGTCACTATTTTTTGAAAATTATTTTCATATGTTATTTAAACTTTCAATGATAAGTTTATTATCGTGTTCAGAAATAGCCACCGATAGACATAAATAAACTGGCCTTGGTCTTGGAATCCAGTTAATTCTAATTTTTTATTCATTCCCTTAATTGACATTAAGTATGACATAAGGAAGTAAAAGTAATTGAATGGTATTTCTAATACGTGGAGTGGAAATGTATCTACGTGACTGTGGTACAAAGTAAGATTAATGTGGACGGTCTGTGTTATCAGGAGGACATAATTTAATAGTCACTCCTACAGTCACTATTCAGGACGTTTGATATCAATTATTTTGCTCGTATCCCTAGGACTAGATAAGTCCGGTTTTTAAATACTTTCAATGAAATTCAGTCAGTGTTTGAAATTTTTCTCTTCAAATAACTTGCATATCTAATGAAAGCCAGTTTGTATAAAACTAGGTTTTGTTTGTGACTTCGTCCACGTGGAATTTAAAAAATGATTAAAAAACGTACCTTGTATTAAATACTGACAATAGCTTCTAAATGGTGAAAGAATGAAAAAAAAATTGTATTCAGCCCAGCAGTTTTTGATGTATTTCAATACATACAAAAATCTTAAAATACAAATATTTCCTCTTTATAGTTAATATTCGTATAGATAATGTAGATTCAATTCAAATGTGTTGATCATTATCTTTTCTTTAAATTAACACACAACAAATAATTTGTATGCGGAAGTCGAGAAAAGTAGGTCAACAACCGGTATGCTATAAACCTGAGGAACTTGCCGCGTTGGAAACAGTAACGGCTTTGTTTCATGCCTTATCTGAAGCATTAATCAAACATTATCATTTTTTGTTGCAGAAAATCGCTTCGATATCTTGTGTATACAAGAATATTATAAGTGTTGAACAAACAGGCTTGCCACCCACGTACCTCGATAACGCAGCATCCCGTCCACAGAGAAATTAATCTGGCACACGGTAACAGGAAGCATGCCGATAACGTGGTGGTCGCTATAGCCGCAGCCGCCACGCCGACACTCCCCCATTGCTCTAATATGCTAAGATGACCACTTCCTTTAGACAGCGAGTGACCTCGTAAAACTACGAATTAAACCCGCATCTTAGATATGTAGTTAGTTACCACACACGATATCAATTGGAGTAAAGATTCCACCAAAGTTTAACTACAATAAAATGGAGGCCATTCATACAAAGCCAAATTGCGTCTCAAAGAAGAATGCACAATTATATCTAGGAAATATAAGTAAAGGAATGTCTAACGATATGTATAAATGTGAAGTAACGACTGAAGTAGATAAATTTAGATTACGAAAAGAAAGATGCGAATTGCAAAACGAATACGAAAATCGATACCCATTTTCGAATCGTGGATTACATAATGAAGAAAGTGATTCTGGGAATGAATTGAATATCAGAAAGAGTGTATGGGCCGTACATGGTGATACAACGCGGGCCGCGAATTCTAAATCGAAAATCGTGCTTGGATCGAGGCATTGGACTGCTTCTTTCGGGAGGACAATAAGTGGTCAAGTGCGCGTTATCGTCCTCTTGGGATTGTTGTTGTTGTCGCTGGCCGCAAGCAGCGCGGCGCCCACAAGATCAGACAGGAGTACACACCACTCCAAATCTGTGGTAAGTGTTTTTTTGTGTACTATATTCATTATATTACACTGCTACTACACTACACTGTATTATAGTAGATGCGTTATTAATTTCTTGAACTAAAATAATGCTCTACTTACCGGATATCATAATTCTAATCATAGGAAATTTACTTTACATAAAAAGAATACATTTGCATAAATCGATAATTTAAATATGGTAATCTAAAACTTATACAAAGACAGGTAACAAAGAATCAAAAGATAGTAAAATTTATTCTATTAACAATATTAGTAGCGATAGGTGCAATGAAAGTATACTTGGTGTGTCATACAGGCAGTGTTATGACGCGGCTGGAATATTAAGTAGTCAACGTCCCTTGTCGCCGTCGAAACTTTAGCCTCGTCTGTCCCTTGCCGGAAACAGACACCGTATTTTGACGGCATTGTCTAGTTTATCTGGAGCTTTGTATTGTTCTGAGTTTTTGTTCTATTATTTGTATAATACGATAAAAAAATCCTCCATTAATATCGACATATGAGCTCATAAGAACGGTAACAAGTCGTTGGATGTGAAAACAGCGGATAGCATATTGTAGAAGAGATTTAAGATGTTCAGCGTATAGACTCGTATCGATGACTTACATAGAGTTATAGAATTTTAGCTATAAAATTTGTAAATGCAATATACCAAGTAAATTAATGTCTTTAGATATTATCTATATGTTGTCACTGTGGCTATATTTCATCCTCATTTATGATAAGCGAGACGTTAATAGCCGACGCTAGAGTACGTACGCCTATGTTTACAATCAACGGTTGTAATTCACATATTGAATAGCTCTCTTTATCAAGGGCATGTTTGATTACCCCTAAAACGAGACCCCTATCGACCGGCGGGGGACTATTGGACTTTTTAAGGCGTATTTCCGAAATGCAAGTAATATGGGACACAAAGCCGGCGTGTCGTATTAGATTACTGGCAGTGACAGATGGACAGACGGTTGGCGAGGAGATTAATGGGCTAAGTGACGAGTGGGAGGCGTTCCTTCTACCGTCCTCTAACATTCCATGAGACGGGAAGACATTTATGTCCATTCATTTCGTGGACAATTCGTAACTGTGAAAAATCAGACAAATTTAGGAAAGTGGATTTTTTGCGTTCTTTGTGAAATTGAAACCCTGATACGATCCATTTAATGTTATAAATTATCTTTGCGAAGTCACAGTAAATTTAGTCAACTAAAATTGTTCCAGCCAGAACAACTTTTTAGAAAATAACACAATTAATTGCAGTTTCTTTATATTTATTAAGTTTAAATTGAACGTTTTTTTTNNCGTTCTATTTTGACACATAGTTACCGCCTAGCGTTTTCGCGTCCGTGCGAACGCTCGCTTAAACACGGCGAGCGCGGTGGCTTTGCGGCGTGGCGCTCGCTTCCTGCGCAACTAGGTCGTGTTTATGTTGTACTTATGTATGAATGATAACTGGACCAACGCCACGTTACGTATATTCGGTACTCTAACATTATATAAACATTACTAATTATAGACAAATTATACAGTAAACGATAAATTTGTATGAAAGTTTATAATTGTAATATGTATTTCTATCAGATGTCTCAAATTTGATAATACCGTGCGATTATTTGAAAATTAAGATTGGTAAATTTTGTTTTACTTACTTGTAACTTTTATTAAGTTACCAAATTAAGGTTTGTAGTTAAGACAGAGCCACTGTTTAATACCTTTTAATTTTTCTTGCTGTAACTGATTATGACAAGAAACTGTGATTCTAAATTCCAATTATCTCTTTATTAGGATTTAAATCACAAAAATGGTATATCAAAGTATTTTTTTTAATTCAATACAAATGAGAATGCGACATAAGGAGAGATAAAGTAATGCCGGGTTGGATTCATATCTACACCGTCAATACGTTCCGTATGTTCCTTATCTAAGTCAAGTGGTTGTAAAAAGAGGCTCTGTCTATAAATACGGACTGTGTAACTGAGATAGGATTCAGATACAAGGCTCACTCAGGTGTAAGGTTAAAAGTATCTTCACCAATGCTATTTACAAAATGTGTAGGAGGACTTGACTATAGATTTATTGTCTGAATACTTTTATGTCGATATAAATAGAAGGTCGTACTTTTGTTAGTGACTTGAAATTTAAATCCGTTTATTTTTAATCGCCATAAACGATTATACAACTAAGTTTTAGTTGAATGACTTTTTAAATAATGTTTCTTGTCTTTGTCAGCTTGTAGTGGATTGATGAGCCTGATAATATCAGATAATGTTCCAAATTGTTATAACGTGTTATAGTCATGCTGGCCCAGAGCGGGTTGGTTGACTTCACACATATCTTTAAATTTCTTCCCTGACATGTTGCATCACGCTGTTTTCCTTAAGAACTTCGTGTAAATTGTGTAGATATGAAATTTGAAAAATCAAACATCACATTGGTACATAAGGGGATTCGAACCCAAGACCTGTAGATTACAAGTCAAGTGTTCAAACCCCTGAGCCACCGACGCTCTCAAAACCTACTATTATTATATTTTAGGAAATTTGTTTTAAAATTATTGATATCAGCGTTATTGTTAACCAGTTTCGAGAATACAATACGCGTTCAGTGCACACATGTGCCGGTCATTGTCGGTTCGAAAAATGCTAATTTTGAACGGACGCCAACAGTTGCTTCATTCGATAGCGTATTAAGGAAATATCTACCTATTTAACTTGTGATTAAGTCGAAATTACCATATCACGCTAGTTTGCTACCTGTTAAAAAGCTCATTATTTTTTTCTAAAGCATGTATTCACAGGAAATATAAACAAATATGCATTAAAAGTTCACGAAGAGCAAGTGAATATTAACAAAGTATTATTTATCACACATTACCATTTTTCCTTTAATGTATTAGAGCAATAAATTTGTAATTTAAGGATAAATTACATAACTACATGTTTTTAGTATTTGTAAAGCCATTATCAACAATTACGATGAAAAAATCAAATTGTTTAGTAAGAATGATTGTATAAACTGCAAGCTAAAACCTGGTATATAAAAGTAAATATTGTTCAAGTGATGTGATTAAATAAACTTGTTCAATTCTACTAAAAAAAAAATATTTGGACAGATAAACGTTATCAGTCAAGTACTTTACGTGTGGTCAATTTTATTCACCTGTCAGTTTTTTTCGAATAAACATACACAAGATGATGAATTGCCTCTACTAAGATTAGTTCTTTTAAGAAAATTGATGATGCAAAAAAAGCAAATTGTAAAAAAAATATACTCGCCCAACGTGGGGCTCGAACCCACGACCCTGAGATTAAGAGTCTCATGCTCTACCGACTGAGCTAGCCGGGCTGTTGGCAACAACTTGAAAATCTTTATTGGTTGTCCCGTGGGAGTCATAGTACAAATGCTTTCTTATTTTATGATTGTAGCAGTCTTTCACAACAAACGTAACCAGCGGACACTTATGTTGTTTCTTCACTAATCCCTTGAGACTTTCCAAAAATATCGCACTGTGTTTCACGTTTTTGTTACTCTCGGGAATTTTATTTACTGTTTCTGTTTATATTATTCGTGTATATAATTTTTTCGCTTGTTTTTTTTATTACATTGCTTTTGATTATTGCTTATTTTGTTTCAACAATGTTATATCAATGTTGTATCAAAACATTACATGACGGTAATTATTTGCACGACGGGGTCGAAAATTGTGCTCGCAATGAAATTAGTGGGTCGGCGTCATTGACCTAAATTATCATCGTCATGCCTATCAGTGCTCCTACTCCTACAGATGTCGCTTTGATCTCCCTACACGATGTATTTCTGTCTCATCGTTAACGCATACAAACACAGCTTTTCTCTCTTTTTATTGGTACGAAGGACTACGAAAGGAGTTCGTTCTAAGTTCGCGTATTTAAAAATATCAGTATAACATTTTCAATAATTTTTAATTTCCAAATCGAGCATTGACCAGTGTAATAAACATTCGTTTAAAACTACATGACATTTCAACATTTAACTAACCCCAAAAGTAGCGCCATAATTAATGTAAGTCCGTCCATAACTGTAGATTGCAGACGACGATAACGCGCTTATCCATACAATTCCATGAAATTTACACTCCACTTTATACACTCATACTTGCGTGCTAGCGTCAATATTCCTTTGTTGATAATAAGCTTCGCTAAATGAGAAAATGTACGGTTTTTACATTTAATTCTTGATGACAAGATCAACAAAGATTTCGTCTGATATGTAACTACTCTATGATGATAAAAACCGCATTATAAAATGAAATATCAAATGCTTAGGGCTTTTGTAGGCCATATACACAGTACCAAGCCATTTAAATTTTGCAGGATGTTTTGCATTAAAAATATATCGACACCTAGCGACACATCCTGACTTCGCACGGATACTTTTCAATTCGCACCGATATCGTAGACGGCTATCGCCAGAAAACAGGTAACTGATTTATTCTGTGTTTATAAATGTGATAGTTTGTATTGCATTAAATGGAATTAAATAAACTCGGCTCTAAATTAAAGCGCAGACGAAGACATAACAATGTAAAGCAATTTTTATTGTATTTAGTTGATTCGTTGGGCAGACTGGCGGGCCGTGGTATGGTCGGACCGGAAACCGTCTTATGGTATAAATATAGAACTGCAGACAGAGATGCAGTTAACGGCATATTGTATGCATGACTGTCCCATTTTAACCTAAATTATTTTAGGAAAGAAAACCTTAATGACTTAAAATGAACGCAAAAGTTTATTGGACAAGTGATACGTCAAAATTAAAAGAAAATCACATAAACAATAGAAGCACGTGTATCATGTCAATCAACTAAATGCGAAAATAGGAACTAATTTTAGGCGTGCACAAGGACAATGAGACAAAAGACATGAATTTATAATTAAATAATCAGCAAACGATCTACGTTGCTATAAATGAAAATTGACGACGACACCTCTACAATAAGAATCGAATTAAACACAT